CCCCGTGTGATTCACTTCGTACAGTTTCAATTTGCATTCTTCGCCCAGCATCACCGCTCCATTCCCATCCCTCGACGTGTTTCACTTCGAATTTTACAAATAAAATACAATTTATCGATAACCAGAGGTGGTAAATTTTTTTTCTGGCGGAGAATTTTTTTTAACGTGAGTGGCGGTATTTACTGGGTGTTTTGGCTGATCGGTGATGTCTGATAAATTTTTTTAGGGGGGCGGGGTATTTTTTCCATTATTTATCCTAGCGTTTATATTATTCCAACCAAAAAAAAAAACCCATTGGATTGGCTTTTCCAATTTGAAAATTTTTTTTTCTACGCTGGTAGAAAAAGAATGAAATCTCATGGAGAGTTCACTACTAACTTTCAGGTGTCACTGAAAATTCAGTAAAATTACAGAATTTTAAGCAACATAAAGACGAAAATTCCTTAATATACAGCGCCAAATTACATTGAATTTTCAGTGAACCCCGAAATTTCGTAATTTTTTTCCTCCGAAATCGCATTCATTGTCACTGCCCGGAAAATTCCAGAATATATTTACTGGAATTTTCTGGTTTTCTGTTCATTTTCAATAACAATAATGGAACTGAAATTAACAGTTCTCTTTGATTTATCCACAAAATTCTGAATTTTCAATGAAATTCCTCGAAAATTGCTTTGTGAATATTTTTTTCCTGGCGGAGGATTTTTTTTATCGTTCACGGAATTATTTACTGAATATTTTGTCTGATGGGTGATATTTGATAAATTTTTTAAGGGTTGAAGGGGGGAGGGTTCTATTTTTCCCATTATTTATCCAAGCGTTCACATGATTTGTTTTTAAAAAACTTCCAGCGAATATACGGGCATGCACAAGCGCAGGAAAACAATTTGACAACCAATTTTTTTTTCAATTTGGCTACCATTTGGTTCTATTTGTGGTAATTTACTGCAATTTTTATTGTAAATATGAAATTCAATGAATCAATAACCGGAGGTGGTGCATATTTATTTTTCTCGTGGAAAATTTCTTTTGTTGGTGAAGTTATTTAGTAGATGTTTTGACTGATGAGTGAAGTCTGATAAATTAGTTGAGGATTTTAGAGATGTGTGTTCTCTTTTTGGTAATTTGAGGTGTTTCAGGGATTGATGTGGGGGATATTGAATTTTGGAGAGGAGAGGGTGCGGAAATCATAGATTGGTGCTCCGGTTAACGCGCAGTCGGGCTTTAATTGTTGAAGTGGTAGAATTCGATATTGACGGATATAAATTGACGGTGGAAGAGCGCTCAGAACGAGACTAGTGTTTCAAAGGCAAATCTCCAACCATTATTCTCCAATATAATCGATTTTTCCGGAAAAATTTGAGGGATAATTTCGTTAAGAGGAGTACCAATATGGGGCTGAGGAAAAAAACCTATAAAATACAATTTATCGATAACACGAGTTGGTGATAATTTTTTTCTGCAGGGAAAGAAATTCTTAGAAAAATCCTAGTGCTATGAAGATAATTTTTCTAAGGATTTCAGTGAAAATTTCATATACCAAGCGGAAAAAATTCACGTGCTACTCTAGAATTGTTCTAGGAAATCCCTCTCCGCGTTGTGTAAATTTTTATTTCCATTTGTGGCAGTATTTACTGGATGTTTTGACTGATGAGTGAAGTCTGATAAATTTGCTGAGGATTTTGGAGCTGTGGGTGTTCCCTTTTTGGTAATTTGAGGTTTTTCGGGTATTTATGCGTAGGATATTGAATTTTGGAGAGAAGAGGGTGCGGAAATCATAGATTGGTGCTCTGGTCAACGCTCAGTCGGGTTTTAATTGTTGAAGTGGTGGAATTCGATATTGACGGTTATAAATTGATGATGGGAGGCTTCGCGGGGGGATTTACGGGGTGCGAGAGCCATCAGAAAGAGACGCTACTGTTTTAAACGCATTTCTCTAACTATTATTCTCGCAAAAATTTGAGGGGTACGGAAAAAAGATGATCTATCACAATTTCGCTGGAGGAATTAATTTTGCGATATCGCTGTGCACAAAGACCCTGAAAAAGCCGAAACACAATTTTGGATGGCAATTTCCACTATTCCATTCATTAATTTGAGGGGAATTTTTCGGTCTTTATCAAGTCGATCTGAAAAGAGTAATGAATCCAAGCTTTTATCGTCCATTGCAATTTCCATTGTTAAATTGGGGCCGTCCAATATGCGCCGATTCAAATTGACGAGAGAGACTTAATGGAGAGAAAAATACCATGCGAACGAAATCAAAGGATCGTGTTAACGTTAGAATTCCGCGCACACCCCCACTCCCCAGATATGTATCGCTGAGGAAATTGATACCTTTTTAGAGTGTTTTCCCCATTTTTTTGGCACCCAGCTCTTTTCCTTATATTGATTTCAACGGGATTTCCATGGATGCGTCAATCTGGGGAGAATAATAGATCGGGACTTCCATCGTGTATCGAAATTTCATTTGTTGAATTCCGGCAATTCGATATTCATCAATTCGAGTTTACGAACGGAGATGGGGTAACAAGGAAAATAGGCGAGGGCGTGTTTTCTCCTGAAATCATAGTACAGCTTCGCGAAACTTTTTTTACGATTCAAAGTTCAGAGAAATTCAGAGCTTCACGTCGACATCAGCGCTGTTTACTGCACGAGGAAAATTAGTATTTGAAATTGAGGCATTTTCACTGTCTCAAATTGAGATGTTACAGATATCCAAATATCTTTTACAATTTGGTAGTGACAAATTGTCAATTAAATTGCGTAAAAAAAATTGAAAAAAATCTTATTATTAAAAAAAATGATGAATATTATTTTTTTATTATTTTTAAAACATTCATTGCTTATAAATAAATGATTGAAATTACGCAATTTCAAAATTATTTCATTAATCTTCCTCCAAAAGTAAAGTTTATAATTTCATAATCAATTTATAATGCCTCTTTTTTTAAAATACTTCATTAATTTTCTCTCAATCTTCGTGTCTAATGTCTTAAATTAAGACATCCCGAAGACACTATTTTTTACAGCCTCAAAAAACTCAAAGAAAAAGCCTTTGAATTCAAAATTGATGAATAGCCCCTACTTCACCTAAACTGAGCACTTCGTTCCCACTGTAACAAATCACCCACTCTCACTATTCCCCCCGCAACGACCCCCTAAAACCGCCCCATCCAAAAGAAAAGAACCCCGTAACTCCCCCCACGCATCAAACCGGCTAAACCCAGTAATTGAAATACCCTGGAATCCAACATTCGCAAAATCCCGCGGATTACCCGCCAGCCGCAGAAAACCTTAACTCCTAAATATTATAAATTTCAACTGCAGGAACTTACCGACAAAGTATTCATCATCAGATCCCTAAATTCCACGCGAATAATCTCATAATCCACCATCAAAGAAAAATCCCCCTCAAAGCGTGTCTTCTCCGGGAAAAAAAAGCTCGAAAAATCCTGCAAACTCAATCTGAAAAATATTCCCCTCCGCCAGTATCACGTTGTCTCACTTCACCTCGAGTCTCGAGACGGACGAAGGGTGAATGGAAGTGAAACCACGGAGATAGCGCCAAGGTGAATTCCAGTGGCAATCACTACACCTCACCCCCTTCTCACCAGCAGATCCTCAACGAGAACACTCTCAACGTGTCTTTGGATGACGTTACTTAACTCCACCCCCAAACAGTCGCAGTAACCGCAAATTGCTCATCAGTTCATAGAACACGTCTGACTCCACTAATTCTCATCCCCCGGGGCCACCTCATCGCCGTATTTTCCAAAGCCCCATTGTCCAAACCCCCGCGAAAAAAACTCTCACAAAAAGTTCAACCAAAACCACTCACCAATCATAAAAACCCAATAACCATAAAATTAATCAACGAATAAAACACAGAGCGAGCAAGACTACACAAGCGTTAACCACGTGACAGCCGGCACTCAAAATCCGGCCCGTACATAAAGGCAAATGTCACATACAGACGTACAAAATGATTCAAAGTGTACAAAACTACCACGTGACACGCATTGGTCGCTTCGTACCGGGACACTGAAGCACTTGCTTCTTGTTTTTGCAAGTGGGTACCCGCCCGTACAGGCTCAGAGAGCTTTCATCCCCTCTACGCTCCTGCAGCGCTCGTCCCCCACTCTTATCCGCCCCCCCCCCNAATCCGGCCCGTACATAAAGGCAAATGTCACATACAGACGTACAAAATGATTCAAAGTGTACAAAACTACCACGTGACACGCATTGGTCGCTTCGTACCGGGACACTGAAGCACTTGCTTCTTGTTTTTGCAAGTGGGTACCCGCCCGTACAGGCTCAGAGAGCTTTCATCCCCTCTACGCTCCTGCAGCGCTTGTCCCCCACTCTTATCCGCCCCCCCCTCCCGCCGCCGTTCACTCCGCGCTCTGCCGTCAGGTGTCTACCCCTCGTTCGCGTCTATCGTTCACAGGAGGCGCGACGTGCGCAAATGGCGGGCGCACTATATCCTACTACTTCTCTCCCTCTTCAACCTCTTCAACCTCACGCGCCTCCCCTCTCCCCTGCCCCCTTCATCGCTGCTAACCTTAACCTGACTCATTCGAGGCATCCGCCGTCTCACTTTATCACGCTCGCTCACAGACTTTGAACGCCCCCTGCGAGAGTGTCCTCTCAAGCCCTTTCTCACTCTCGCTCACTCTTGGCCCTCGGCAACCCCCACCGATCGATCCCACAGCAGACGCGCGACTGTGTGCGCATCAGGTACACACACACATACGCTACCCTTCGCTTTTCCTTGGTCTCTTTTTTCCCCCTTCTTTCTGCACCTTTTCCTCATTTCATTCTTGTTACATTTGAATCAGCCCGGGTCATACATGTGTTGATGATGGCCCTCTCACTCCGCTGTCTACAGTTTTTACGAGCTCACGGAGTTTCGAGAATCCTTTCGAGCTCTCGAAAGCTTCCGTCACTTTGGAGCTAACGAAGGTCTCGCCTCATTAGGCTCACAGATCTTCAGGACCACTTGATGTCTCACGTGTTGGTTTTAATTCTAGAGGGGCACGAAAGTTAAATGATCCTGGGTTTTTTTGCTGAGAATCTCGGTCGGAGGCCTCTGGTACTTCAACATCTTTGATGTGCGATTGTTAATTTTGGGACGAGTGCTCCTAATTATGAGATCGGGACGCAGACGATCGTGTGGTAGTAATTTTTTGAAATTGCGAGTGATTGATTTGCATGACCACCAGTTATTGAGTTCAATTATAACTCGTAATTTTAATCGATTATCTACTTCACTCGCAGAATCTCTTTGCGGTATCGGCATGATGTATCAATTTACTGAGAACTCAAAGGCCGTCTCTTAGAGTGGTTTTAGGTCCGGCAACGACTAATTGGTTATGATGGCTTTTGGCGTAATGAACAGAGTGATCAGAGCCATTCATCAGGAGAATCCTTCAAAGATTCTTTTCACGCAAAAGACATGAGACCAAGAAGAAGCTTATTATGAAGAAGGTTCCTTTCAGTTCAGATACGCATCTCAAAGCGATCTTTGTGAAGGCATTTTCAAACTTTCTAGTTTTCCTGATTGGATGATGGCTGATGGTCGATGTGCTGCGACAGCCCAAAAAAGCTGTAATATTTGGTGAATTCATCAGCATCAAAAACTTTGATTTCCTTTCAATCGAAGCACAACTAACAGAACCCAATCCGATAAATTCCGTAAGACAGTTGCTATTCGTTCATCTATATTAAGACATGAGGCAAAGGGGAAGCTTATTAGGAAGATGGTTTCTTTAAATTCAGACGAATCTCAAAGCTATCTCTCTGAAGGCACTTCCAAGCTACCTAGGTTTTCTGATTGGCTGATGACTGATTGCTGACATGCTTCGAGGACTTCGATTTCCTTCCAATTGAAGCACAGCCAACAGAACCCAATTCGATAAATTTTGCAAGGCAGTTCCTATCCGTTCATTTACTCTATCAAGAGAGTGAATATTCAGTGACTGAGAATTCTTCAAAGATTCTTCTCACGTAAAAGACATGAAGCAAAGAGGAACCTCATTATGACGAAGGTTTCTTCAAGTTCAGACACAACTCGCATGAACCTTTCTGAAGGCATTTGCAAGCTTTCTAGGTTTCCTGATTATCTGATGACAAGGGCCGGACACTTAATTCAGTAAAAAGGCTTGTTTTTAACAGACTTTTCATTAGATGAAGCCTTCGGTTCTGCTGATAACTACTTCCTGATATGCTTCACCAGCCCGAAAAGCTAAAATATTTGGCGAGTTCCCCAAGCATCGAAGACTTCGATTTCCTTCTAATTGAAGCGCAACCAACAAAATCCAGTCCGATAAATTTCGCAAGACAGTTGCTATTTGTTCACCTATATTAAGAGAGTGAATATTCAGTGACCTCTAAAGCAGAACGAATCTCCTCTGTATTCGTTCACATGTATTTCGCTACAAGCACAGCGCATGTATCCAAAAAGCATTTCCCCCGTTTCCATTGCATTCGTCGGAATTAAGTTCCCCGGAATGTTGTTTGAATGAGCACTCGCTCCCCCAGAATGGAGTTAATGAATTCTCGTTCTTGTTGTTGGGGGGGAAAATTGGTATAGCCATGAGTTTATGCTGAAGGATTTTGGGAATTACTTGGTGAAAGCACCTGTGGCATGAAACTTATCCTTCATCGACATTTTGAGGGGGAAAGGTTTTGCTATCAAAGCGGAAGCCGATTCGACGGGTTAACGGTTGTCCTTCCGTCCGTTTCTGTTTCTGATAGACTGAACGCAGACTCGATTGTTCCAGATCCGCCCGTACATCACCAGACGCGTCGTGAACACTGTGAATGGTTGTTTCAGTACTCCAGTGTTGTAGTAATTTTGATACTGGACAGTTGAATTTAATGGATAATTCGGGATTTAGTTCCTAGGGAGGATTATAAACTGAAATTAGGAAATTGCCCAAGTTGGGTAGTAAAATGTGCTTGATTCAAGTATATTTTATACTCAATTGGGCGATGGGTAATTCAATTTGACGATGATTCTTTAGTATCAGGCCGGGTTGTTGCAAGCCCTCTCAAGCGTAATGTAAGTGTCAGAATATAAGGGTCAGAATTAGGGTGAAAACATTAGCATTAACATTTTTTCCTTTTCTTCAGTTCCTACGGAAAATGATAAACTGAAATTAACGCGATAAAAGTGTTATCAGTGAAGTGGAAAAGTGGGTGGAAAAAGAAAAATTGGAGTGGAATCTTGAGGAGGCACGAGCAATTATAGTGGGGGCTCTGACGAGGCAGATCGAGTGAGTCACCTTAAATTATCCGGGGCTGTCTGCTTGATGATTCGATCCTGCTCCATGAGATTAAACTCAATTTACTGTCTCGGTCGTTCTTTTTGTTCGCTTATTTCTCACTGGTTTTCTCCTTTGTTGCAGCATGAAATAAATTGGGGAATTATTCTCCGCGATGCGGGGAGATTGCCGAGGGTTTGAGTAAGAAAATGCGAAGTCTTTGGTAAACTTGAGACGAACAAGGTGAAGGCGCGAGCAAAAAACCGACGGTGATATTTACAGGGATATATTGTACTCTTTGATGTTCGGATTTGACTTAATGCGGCCCTTCGATTTATTCCGAATTAATTTTCCCGGAGTAATTAAACTGAAATTCACAGTTCCCACAGATTTTTCAATGAAAATATTACATTTGAAATGCAAATGGGAATGTTGGTTGTTAGAAATTTCCAAGACACAGGAAATTTCAGTGGAAAATTCTCAATATTGCAGCTCCCTATCGATTTCTCTTCAATTTCCCGTGAAAATATACTCTCCCCATCCTATTATATCACTTTATTCAGACAAAAAATCCTCCAATCTCTCGAGTTTGTCTCAAGAACCCTGTCTATCTCCCCTACAACAAGAATACACGTTCTCAGAATAAGGACTCCGTCGAGAATCCAGGTGTTTTTCCTTTCATTCTCGTTTGTGAAGTAAAAGAGAGCATATTGTCGTTCTTTGATGTTTAGATATAACTTCATGCGCCTCTTCGGTTAACTCTGAATTATTTTCGCGAGAGAAACCGACTCAGGAGTCTTCCGGAACTCAAAATTAAATAGAGAAATCAAAATGCTGGAACTTTTGTTGAATTATCTGGAAAAATGTCTTGAATTTGATTTAAGGGAAAAAAGTCAATGGAATTTCAATTTTTACTGAAAATTCAACTGAAGACCCAAGTATTTATCGGAAATTCCATAGTTTATATGAATTTTCAAGTGAAAATGAATATTTACCGTCGAATTCTCTCAAAATTCAGAGGAATTTGGAATGAAAGGAGAGATTTCTCTGAATTTTCCTGATTTTTCTATGAAATTATGAATTTCCAATTACAAAATTCCTTGAAATTTCATGTTAATTTCATCTTTTCCTTTTTTAAAAAAGAAAATGATTTTTTTTAGGAGAAAAAATCTGTGGAACTTCAATTCTCTCTAAAAGTTCACCTAAAGTCAGGATCTATGAATTTTCAGTGACACAATTCCGTCAAATTTCCCTGAAAATTTCTTAACATCGCACCTCCCTATCGATTTCTCCTCAATTTCCCATGAAAATCTATTCACCCGATCATATTATATCCCTCCACGAGACAAAAAATCTTCCAATCTCTCGAGTTTGTTCCAAGAACTCTGTCACCCCGCAACAAGAGTACACATTCCCAGTCTAAGGACTCCATCTCCACCCAACGTTTTCTCCATCTCTCCCCCGCGAGTCTCTCCCCCCCACCGGCTGTCAAAACTTCTTAGCAAACGCTTCGAATATTCAACGGCGTACGTTCAACCGAGAAACTTCAATCTCAAGAATCGCTATCGCATTCATCCTTTATTCTCCGAAAAACAAGTGAGGCAAAAGGCAGGAGTCGAAGGACAATAAAAAACCCCCAACGAAAGCACTGAGAATGAAAAATTCCGATGGAGACGAAAAATACTCCTCTGCGTTGGCCGGATTTGTGACGTCACAGAGTCGAGAAATCCATCTGTATCAACATTACATGATAAATTT